ATCGATTTTTAAAATTTTTCCAGTTTATTTTAATAACTAACTGATAAAAAGTTCAGTCTTTGCACTTCAAATGTTAGTTTTCTTTAGTTTAATCTTTTTCATCTTATGTTTCATATAAATCAAGATATTGACCTGTTTGTACGTGATTATTGTTGCAGTTGTCTTTAACTTCTTTAATCGATAAAACTAAATATTCAACCTTATCCTTGATTAAATTTTTTCAGTGACATTTCAGGAGTTTCAAACATTTCAAAATTGAAATTTAAATTGTACCTTCAGGTGAACTTAGTGAAATAATGTACCTCGAAGTTTTTATAAAATTAACCCGTAGGTACTGGACGACTTCATCTGAGGTCAAGTTCATGATATCATGTCTCGTAGCAAGAAGTAACGAATAGGTGTACAGTTGTCTATATTTTTAAACCTAGTCACTTTATTTAGTTTTGCTGTCAATATTAATGAGATGCAAGTATATCCAACTGACGAGTACGAAATAGGACGAAACTCGCTTCACAGAATACAATACGGGCCACCATCCATCTCTACTTATAGTGAGTGATATTTGTTTCATTCTAAACCGGATGAAACTTCACAGGCCACATTTTTGCATTAGAACTCTAAAACTTCATTCTTTAGTTTGTTGATTAAGGAAAAATGATAAATATCAAAGTATGCAGAAGACTAATTCCTAATAATTTAATTTTCACAAAACTCTCACCGCGGTAGTTATTACTGATATCTTAGTTACATAAGAAATGAACAAATTATAAATGAGAAAATATCAATAACAGGAAACTTCAAAATAAACAATTGCAATTAACAGTGGAGTTAACATTAATTTACATGGCATGCAAATTTGAGTACGATTGAAATTTTTGATTCTATAACAATGAATACAACTAAGTAGTCGGAGAACAACAATACCGAAAATGATACACAAAATTTTAATACCTAAATCTTTCATATTCAATGGAATTATGAATAAGGAAACACGTTAATTAGCCAATTTAGGAAGTAGTTCAGAATAGTATCATATAAAGCTTATTTTTATAATGTACTGACAAAGTTCAGTTCACTTTTGAAGGTGAATACCTTCATCAGATTGATGGAGTTGCTATGGGTAGTCCGCTAGGAACATTACAAGCAGATGTGTTCATGACACATGTTGAAAATCAGACTGAAACACGTCACTTTATAAGAGGTATGTGGACGATATCCTAGTTGTTTGTGAGAGAAAGGAGGATATGTACCGTTTATTAAATAAACTTAACACTCTCCAAAACCATATTAGTCTCTCATGTTAAGAGGAGAAAAACGATCAGCTTCCCTTCCCAGATGTATTTCTGAGTAGACGAGAAGATGGCTCAGTCAAGCGATCTATTTTTAGAATACCAACGTGGACAAGTCAATACCTTAGTTATTATAGTTATTGCCCTGTGCAATACAAACCTGGTTTGATAAGGTGTCTTTTCAACAAACTCGACCGTATTTGTACCAATGACGCCATTGATGATGATGTTAAGTTGTTGAATAAAACATTAATAGAAAATGGCTATCCTCTGAAATTCATAAATAGATGTAAAGTCCATGGTACAGCGAGACCTACTGTAGCATCGGTAGAGAAAAAGCCTGTCTACATCACCTTACCATTCAGAGGTGATTCAAATAGCCTTTTATTGAAACAACGACTTAAATCAGTCATCAATAAAATCTATTGCACAGCAAAGGTCATCATCAAAGAAAGAACAAGGTGCATGCTCCATTCAAAACCTAAAGTACCTGAAAACGAGTGGGTCACATCCCACTGTGTTTACCAATTTGAATGTGTGTGGTCACACATACATAGGGAGGAGTAATCGTTATCTAAACATTAGGGTGAGTGAACATGTACCCAAATGGCTTCAGAAACAAATACAATTAAGTGACCCAATAAGAGCAGAGGATAAACATCCATCATCCTCTATTGCTAAACATATAATTGAAACAGGTCACGAGATTGATTTAAATTCAGCTTTTGTAGTGTTGTATAAAGGTGTAAAAGGGCGTATACTAAGGTTTATTGATGCCTTAGCCATACGAAAATTCAAACCCCCTTTGTGTATTCAAAAACAGTTTGTTCTCACCTTAAACCTACCCTGGTAATATTGACTTATTATCCAGAGTGATTAGGTTTCGCTTTGTGTTCACATTATTATTATTATTATTATTATTATTATTATTATTACTCTTATCATTATCCTTATCTCCTCTTACCCCGTTTCCTGTCTAGTTGACCTTTTATTTTCTATATATAAATGCTCTTAACAAGTATATGTGTGACCAGATTGTTCGAAATGTATTACGCTAATGTATCACATAGTTCTGATAATCTTCGTCTTCTAATATCATTATCGAAATTTATCAAAGGGACTAATTGTTTTAAACAAGATAATCGTTGTAACCCAAATATCAGTTTTATGTATTCACATGTTATCTTTTATTATAAACCCAATGCCTGTTATCATAGTTAGTTATTATCGTTTATAGATATTACAGAAATTTTTCAGTTCAAATAGTAATGATTATTTTTATATATATGTTTTTTTTCAAAAACATCCATTGTGTTTGCTAATGACAAAACTATAGAAGGATTATATACTTAGTTGTTTTAATCTGTATTAAATGATATAAGCATCATTTCTATTTAAGAACTCTAGTCTTATTCTCTTAATTAAGCGTAATCATATACAATGTGAAAATAAATATTGTAATGAAAATCAAGTTTTACTATTAATATAACTATTTCAAAGAAAATATCACTCTGGAATATATTCATGAATAGTTGGATCCAAATTAAATGTTTAAAGTTGAATAGAACTACAATGTTCCTAATGTAATCGGAAAAAGAAAAAAGAAGGGGGAAAATCAAAAACCCATTGAATTTTGATGGCTTCTAATTTAAATAGTTTCTTTTTTCTTCACAAAAAAAAACATTCCTCAAAATGAATCTTTGAAAAAAATTGTCACTGTCTTTTCATGACATAAAGTTACTTTTTTAAATTTTTTTTATTTTATATTATCCCATAAAATTTCATGAAACGTTTCAATGAAATAGAGTTGAGCAATGATCAACTATTCAGAATATTTCTCTCTTGATAGTTTCGTGCAGTTAATTATAAGTAGGTATTTTATTTTATTTCAAAAATCCAAAAAAAAGATAAATAAATAAATAATAATTTGGTAACTAAGCAATGATTTCCAGTCTATGATTTCATGCATTTCATAAATTAGGCAAAGAAAAATACTAAAAAAAAGAAGAAAAAAAGTGTTATTTATCCTCAAACTAACAACAGTCAAATAATTAAACTTATTTAAGAATAAATACAAACATAGAACTGTTGAATCAGAAGTGGAATTTAATAAACAGTTTATAATTACGCTTAAATCAGTTTGTTTTTTTTCCTAATTCGTTATTACAAAAATATAAAATGTTAGTAGAAAACAACATTATTAAGGACTAACTCTTATGTTTATGAACATACTGTGTGTATTTCGTTAAATATACGAAAAGTACTTTATGTTCATTCTTTAAACTACTTTTTTTCTGAGTTTTAATATTGATACTTGAGATAATTCAATATATCAATTAGATGATTAATTGAATTCAATTAAAAAACAACTGTTGAAATCCAAGGAAGATTGAATACTTCTATATGCTTTGATAATTTTTGTTTTAACTCTGAAGAGGTTCAGGCAAGTTTGCTGGACGAAACTTTGAAATTGTTTCAATTTCAGTTTCAGAAATAATGGATTAAACATTTGTTGTATCTTAATAAGGGACAATTAATGGTTTGATTTTATGTATGCACCTCTCAGCTGTTCGAAACTAGTGCGAAACAGCTATCCATTGCTTTATGATTTGTTATGGCTATTTACTTGAAATCACTCATATTATTTGTTAATAATAATATAAATCAGTACCGATTCATCAATTCAACTTTGCTTTACACATTTTGTATGCATGTAAAGGTTAGTATAAAACTACAGAGTTGTAATCTAAAACCCAGAGATATAAATGCAAAATGTTTGAATTACTAAAACAATGATCTTAAGTGGACATAGAAAATCGAGGCTACAGGTTAAGCTTTACTTGTGAACAATTATTTAACTCATTTATTAAAAAAAAAACAGATTATCGCCATACAAGAAATGTTTTTTTCTAATCAAAGAAATGTACATTAGTATTGGGAAAAATATATTATGGGATTTTCACATAGGATATTGAAATAAACTAACTTTTTTAAAGCATACTAATTATTTTACTTCACACGGAGTTTCTTTTAATTATTCAACTGATTTCAAACATTGATCTTAGTTGTGAACAGTCCGAACGTGTCATTTAATAATTTTATTCAAGCTCATTCAAGAAAATAATCGAAATCACGTTAATCACTATTAAACAAGATCGAAATAATAGTTTATTAAGCAATCTGTTGTCACACGATAAGATATCAATGATAAAGTTATGTGCCATTAATGAAAATATACTAGCTAAAATTCAGAACAGAAAATGAAAAGTTTCTCAACAACTTTACTTATGAATGTTTTAAGATTTTTCCATTGATCCTATGAAAGTATGTAAAAGTTGAAACAATTTTCTACAAAGTCTACTTAAACTACATTAGGATCATTTAATCCTTAATTTAGATCAAGTCGTGTGAAAGTGTAACAGTGAAATATCAATTAATAGTTGCCTTTAAAAAGTAAAACTGATAAATACCTTGAATTCGAGCACTACACCAAAAGTTATACTTTGATCAACTAGTCAACATAATCTAGTCTTAAAGATGTTTATTAATACTTACATAGTAGTAAACTAGACTGAATAACGTCAATACTAACTAGGAAAATGCTATGAATATTGGTATTTGATAGTTTTATAACATTTTATCAAGAAATCTTGAAGAATTGTTTACATATGAAAAATCACTATTGATTAATATTTTTACAATTAATCTTACTTGTCTTCCGTTAGTATCTGTTGAACAAGTCGTTATGAAATTTACTTTATGATGTCGATTTAATACTGGAGAGAATGTTAATGGTATTGTGTTTATTCGTTCAGTATTAGGAAAACTTGTTGATGGAGTTAAAATGTATGTTTGATTTGTATTGTTAAGTGTGCTTTCATCACCACTGGTTAAATTGACCACCATATCTATAACAAACAAACAAGAAAACAATAATAAAATTTGAGTTTTATTAAAGAATTATTTGAATGTAAAATAAAACATTAAATTATCAACAGTAAATAGGTTAGATGATTAAGTATTTGCTTCAAACTAAATTAAGGATTAAACAAAATCGAATGTATTAACATTCAGTTGTATGAATAGACAAGTAGAATTCTTTACTAATATGAAATAAATCTTCAACGGATCGTGTGTTGACAGATCTGATCTTGAAATTTAGTTACATGTTTACGCTATGTACATCATACATTTTACTTCAGTAGGTCATTCAAACTCTATGCTTTCACTCTAAAGATATATTTCTTTCTATGTTCAATTTGTTTTATTGTATGTATAGATTTTTATTTACGTCAGAAACTACCATGTCTGTATTGGATTTAAATCATTTTCTCTTAAATTGAAAGAAAATATTGAATTTATATCTTGCCAGAAAACTCATTACATTTCCATGTATTTTGCTTATTCGAAAACCGTAAATACTACTATGGTTGAATGTAATAGGTCTTTCTAACGCTAATACTCAAACATGTGGCTTATTCGGTGATGATTTTATAGACCTTCATAAACATCCCATTCATATATTTAATTCGCGAACCTACCACCTTGTACCTTGAATATATTATTTTTAAAAAGTAATAAGCCATTTAAACTATTCGAACAAGAATTAAATGAAACATTTCATGTTGTAATATTAGCATATACCTTAATCTTTAAAAACATATCATTACTGCTATTCCTTAGAAACAAATAACGCTAAATAACGGCAGTACATTAATAATTTTAATTCAGTGAATGCAATCAATACAAGAAACAGATATCCATGTTGTAGACCATTGATATTTACTTTTGCTCAACTCAGAGAAAACAAATGTAGACATAATTTAGTTTGTGTGAATTTGACTTTATTGTTTTCTAAAAACATCTCAACAATGTTTAGGTAGAATAACTTATAAATTTGCATAGATTTTCGGGAAAAGATGTTTGATTTCTGAACGAAACAAAAGACTTAGAATGTAGCAATTCTTAACTGTCAAGTCATTGTCTGTAATATAACTAAAGTCAGCTGATTTCACTTGAACCCCAGTGTTATTACTCACTAACGCATTCAAGCTCAGTACCTATGACTTGAAAAAAAATCATCTTCATATTCATTTGACTACTGAGATATGATCACTATGTAATTTATTCAGATCTTTACAAACAATATAGTAGTATCAACTTAAGTTGACCATCTGGCAACAGATATTATTCAAATTTAACCATAAACATTAACAATACGAAAACATAAATCTTTACATAAGTTACTACTAATTGTAGATACCTTCTACATTTCCTAAAAAGCTGTTTAAATCGTCTTTACTACTTAAGTTGAGTTTAGAAAATAATTAACTCCTACATATGTATCAGAAGGGGTTTTGTGGAAATTTTAGTAATTTCAGTTGTTGAGACCATGAGTTAATTGAAGCTAGACCACCATGAAAAACCTGGAGGAACCGGACGACCGTATCTTTCTACTATGGGAATCCTCGGCGATACGCACCCACAACCCACCTCGCGGGATTCGAACCCAGGATCTATCGGTCTCGCACCAGGCGCTTAACCAACTAGACCACTTAGCCGGCCGGCATACAACGGTGTTATTGTCTAACTTCAACTAATCCACGAAATTGAGCGACACATCCACCATTTTCATCAGTGAGTTACCATCTTACAACTGACCTGGTTGAACTCCACTGATCACTGTTTCTCACTAGAACTCCAGGATATACCTCTTGAAGCCAGTCACTAGTGAGCAGTAGGTCCTGGGTTCGAATCCCGTGAGGCGGGGTCGTGAATGTACACCTTTGAGGAGTCCAACAATGGGACGAAGCAGCTGACCAGAGCTTCTAGGTCCTACATATGTGTTTAAATAAAATGAATGTTTCAACATGTTGTTTATTATTTTAATATTGACATATCTTTTTAAAGATAGATTAAACAATAACTTTTTTTAACACAAAGATGTTTTTTATTTTTTTGAATTCGTATCATTTATTGCCTAAAGAAAACTTTTCAAACTATAATGTTGACTCTATGGAAAACTTTATGAATGAGGAAGAAGAAAAATTTTAAAAAAATAAACAAACACTTGAAAATAATCAGAGATTTTTAAGTAAATATTGTTTAACAAGTAAATTATATTTTATGACATAATAATCTTGATTTTGTTCATATTGTTTGAAAAAGCATCAATATTCAATAGATTGTTATAAGTAATATTTATATAAATAAAATTTAGATCTATTCTTTAATTATAAAATAACTTCCTATATCAATAATAAAGGTGTCATATTGTATATAACATTATTGTTTATTAATTGATATGAACTGATTTAATATCACTTAACTTACAAGATGTTGGAGAGTGTTGGTGGGAGGTTTATGCTCTTTGACGAAGAGTAACAGGAGTAAGTAAATCAGTAAATAATTAAAGGATGATGTTCACATGTATTTCATTTGATCATATTGGCATAATTTATTTATTTTCTAATTTTTTTTAAGATGAATGTGTTATATTTATTAGCCAAGATTATAATCTACATTTATCAATGAAAAAGTTCATACATTTGAATTCGTTTATTTTTCTTCACATTTCAAATGAATTCACATAAGGATTTATATAGTCAATTTGTGATTTTATTGAATATTGTTGTTTTTTACTGAGATATTTGTGTCAATGAAATGAGTTTCTAGAAAATCCGTTAATAAATCAGTGAAAATTGAAAAGTACTACATAATGACCTCGGGTTGTCTTTAGACTGAAATGGAAACTATAAACTGGTGGGTTATGATTCTTATATTAAGAAGCTAATTATATTGATTGCCAGACTTGAAGGCTTTTAGTTCGACTTTGTATAAAGTTGAAGATGTAGAGAGTAAAGGAGTAAAACACTACTTAAAAGTTTTTGATCATTATCTAGTTGATGCCACTTTGTGATGGATAAAGTTTTAACGCATATTTTTCTGCTAATTTCTAGCTCAATCAAATGTCAGATGAATTAGCTAGTTGAAATGACATCATAGGCAGTAATAAGATAAATTAGCTTCAAGAAGATATAAGGCACTGTGTTTAAGACTATCTTAGACAAAATGAATGTTGGTTGTGAAGCCCACAGGTTTTAGAAATGAGACAAATATTGTAAGTAAACACTTAATGTGTAAATGGAATCGACTTAAAAGAGGTTTAACTTAGGATAAACACCATTCATATTTAGTTGTTGAATATTTCATACTTTAGACAAATAATTCACACTATTAAAAGAGTTATTTTCACACATCTTAACTATTTATTAGTTATCCAGTATTCAGATTTTAGCATACCACTAAAGTTTTACCAATGTTTTAGAGCTAACACTATGACTAATGAAAATTTGAGAGAAAATATTTAATACAGTGAAACTTTGAACTCATCGTACTAATTTATTGTCCGGTTTTTTGACATATGAGGAATTGAAACTCTTTGTGTAAGGATAACATGTTATTCCTCTGATTCTGTTAAGTACAGAAATTCTGAAGCTGTTCTCTTAAAATGAAAATCTTTTAAGTTTCAAGTAAATTTACCTAAAACATAAAATAAAGTTGTCAAATTCTTTTTTAACCACTAGCATTTCAAATTGCATATTCCATTTTCTTTTTCGACATATGACTTGATCTAACTGGATTTTTGTTCAAAATTAATTTTCAGTTATTGTTATATATGTTTTTGTAATTTACAGTTTGAATATAAGAAAACGTCAAGTCTCATAAATTTAGTTCTCTTTATTACCTTGAATGGAAAAAGAACAAGGAATTAAGCAAAACAATTCGAACTCATTTTATTTTGTTAGGTTCGAGACAAATAATGCAATTTTTCAAACTGATTGAGTTCAACTCATGTTATTTCTAATTTTTAATGACTGAGATCATGAGTTAATTCAAGCTAGACCATCATGCAAAACCCGCAAGCTCTGGACAGCCGTTTTGTCCTATTGTGTGACTCCTCAGCAGTGCGCACCCACGATCCCGCTTGCGGGATTCCAACCCAGAGCCTTCACCCGTCTCGCGCGAACGCTTAACCTACTGGACCACTGAGCCGGCATCCAATGGTGTTAATATTTAACTCCAAATAATTGTTTTTAATTTATGTTCACTTGTTTCATTATGTAATCAATTAATTAATTGTTGCTGTTTGATGATCTATGTTATTCTGCTTAATTATTTGCTCTTGCTCTATTCGAAATGACGAGTGTTATCAAGGAAATTCTTTATCTAGATGTAATTAACTTAAGGTTAATTGGTAATTTTCCACTGTTAAATCAAAAGCTTCTTTCATCAAGTGTTAATCTAATCAGATTTTGAAAAGTGTAATGTATTGGTGACTTCCTTTCTTTGACAGTATCGTTATCCACCTTAATTAGCAGAACCAAATGCGCTTGGATTCTTTGGACCAATGATGCTATGTTTCATGTCACTATTCGTGTCTAAACACCGTTTGTTAGGGTTAGCGTTGTCAATCACTTTTAGTAAAATTAATAATCTACCCTCTACTTTGTAGAGATAATCACCTTATTAGGGATCTATTCCAATGATGCGGAGAGCATAGTTAGTGATCCGAAGCACTTCTCTTTTTGTACCTGAAAATTCCTGACTAAACATGTATAACGAAATGTAACTATGACTTACTATACAAGATTTTGTTTGACTAATACACATTCGTTTACATGTATTTATTGAAAATCAATAACAGTCTTATCATTTTTGACAACTAGGCTGTCATAAACTATGGACATAAGGAAGAGTAATTTATATGCAGGTTAATTTTTGCAGAATTTAAACACTTTCACAGAACACTTGACGTTTTAGGTCTAAATTTACAAATACTATTCACTTCATGTGAGTCAATAGATGATTTTCTTTAAAATAAACATAGGTTTAAAACAATATTTAT